TACTTTTTAATTATATTTTTCTCTATGGATCTTTGTATCAGCTTTAGCAAATCCAGAAACAGCTGAGAAGAAAGATGTCTTCATCCTACAACAACTCAATTGCCTCATCCTCCACTCAGTCCTTCCTCCTCTCAGGTGCTGCTGCTGCTGCTTCGGGTGTCGGAGCTACCAACTTCAACCGTGATCAAGAGCCCCCGATGACGATGCTTCAACCACCACCCAACTCCACCGTTGCTCCACCACCCAAGAAGCGAAGGAACCAACCTGGAAACCCAAGCAAGTGCCTCTTACTTTATTAAAAGAACCATTTCATCACAACCCTAATCTAATTCATGTCTTTTGATTTATCATTATTTGATGGTTTTCTCTTGTGGTGGATGATCTTCGTTTATTTTTTACAAGGGGATAAGTGTTATTTGATGTGGTTGTGTCTTAAACCGATGGTTTTAATTGGTTCAACCTGATTAATTAATTTTTGTGTGTGTGTGTGTGTTTTTTTTTTAATTTGGAACAGATCCAGATGCTGAAGTGATAGCGTTATCTCCAAAGACGATAATGGCGACCAACAGGTTCATCTGTGAGGTGTGCAACAAAGGGTTTCAAAGGGAACAGAACCTGCAGCTTCATAGGAGGGGACACAACCTCCCATGGAAGCTGAAACAGAAGTCAAACAAAGAAGTGAGGAGGAAGGTGTACCTTTGTCCGGAGCCCTCGTGCGTCCACCATGACCCCGCACGTGCTCTCGGAGACCTCACCGGAATCAAGAAGCATTACTACCGGAAGCACGGCGAGAAGAAGTGGAAATGCGACAAGTGCTCTAAGCGCTACGCTGTTCAATCCGATTGGAAAGCTCACTCTAAGACTTGTGGTACCAAAGAGTATCGATGTGACTGTGGTACCATCTTCTCTAGGTAAACTATCTTTCTCGATTCCATATATCATCCCGATGAATTTTTGTCTTTTATTTATTTTTTTACATTTTTTAATTAAATCGATTATTAAAATATATGTGTTTAGCTAATCCAATATAGATCGTACTCAAGTGGTTTTCATTTCTTGGGGTCAAAACTTAACTCGGTTTTTGTTTTCTTACTGTGAATTTATCATGTCGGCTCTAGATTTTTAAGGTTAGTACTCTACGCTTCTGCTTGATAGAGATTCAAGTTAGAAAAGAAAAAACATGTCGGTCAGTGAATAGTAAACGTTTAACTAATGAATGTGCAAGCTATAGTGTGGTACCGTCTCTGTGTGTGTGTATATATATAGACCTGTGAGTGAAATCTATGCATATAGATAGATAAATATCATCATCATCTATATTGGCCACGGAACATCATATATTTCCTACATAGGGACATGAACATATATATATATTTACACATAGGATCTATCAATCTCTTTGTTTGGTTGCTGATGAGTAGTGAAAGAGAGAAGGACAGTGAAGGAGAAAGGAGAAAAATAAAAGATGCTAAATTTGGTCACATGTGAGTTGGATTTGTTTCCATGCATTCCCATTTTTGTTTTCTTCTTCTTCACCTTTGCAGGTTCCTCTTTCCATGTAACTCCTCTTCTCGTGGACCCCCATGCATCCCCTTTCTCTCTCTCTCTCTTCATATTATATATATATATATGTATATATATGATTTTGATTTTTATTTATGTGTAAGAGTGGTTGGTTTCGATTGTTTTGTTAATGAATATTGTGGTCGTCCTCGTGACATAGTAGTAGGAGTAGTTGATGAACACTTTTTACATTTCTAGGGTTTTTATATTTTCTTTTTAGCTTTCATGGTGTTGGTCAAACATTTTTCTAATTGCTTATTGGGTTGTGATTGCAGGAGAGACAGCTACATCACCCACAGGGCCTTCTGCGATGCTTTGATTCAGGAGTCAGCAAGGAACCCTACCGTGAGCTTCACGGCTATGGCAGCTGCTGGTGGTGGCGCCGGCAGACATGGCTTTTTCGGCGGCGCTGCTTCTGCTCTCTCTCACAACCATTTCGGTGGTACTTCAGCTTCTGGGTTTACCTCTCTAGCTGCAAGTTACAATCTGAACCGTTCATCGTCCGACAAGTTTGAAGAGTACGCTCCTCAGTCGGCTAACCCTAATCCCGGTGGTCCTCCCAACTTCCTCATGCAATGCGCTGCGAACCAAGGACTGTTAGCGCAGAACGACCAGGGTCTCATGAACCAGCATGGTCTGATGAACCTCGGTGATCATAACCTCAACAGCAACAACAACAACTTGTTCAACTTGGGATACTTTCAAGACACTAAGAACCCTAACCAGACAAGTGTTCCTTCTCTTTTCACCGGTGGTGGTGCTGATAACAACGATTCTTCTGCTTTGCTAAGAGGGTTACCTCCTTCATCTCCTTCAAGTGTCGTCGTCAATGACTATGGAGATACTGGGAATGGAAACCTTCAAGGTCTGATCATGAACACTCTAGCTGACTCGTCTGACCATCAAAGCCGGTCCGGTAGCATTTTTGACCTTCACTTCGGGAGCAATCTTAGCATGGGAGGCTCCGATAGGTTGACTTTGGACTTTCTTGGCGTTAATGGAGGTGGAATGGTGAGCACCGTCAATGGTCGTGGTGGTCGTAATGGAGCTCCCCTGGACACTGAGATGAAGTTTTCACACCCAAATCATCCATTTGGGAAAGCTTGAAGATGATCGTATATGTTTGTATATACAGATCATCCAAATCATGATCTTTCTGGGTTCTTTGGAGATTCTATTTTAAAGCTTTAATTTCTTTCGTTTGCTATTTTTGACTATATTATTAAGGGTAAGGGGTTAGCTTTGGGGTTTTTTTCTTATTTTGTAATATACTTTCCTTTATAAGTTCTCTTTTATAATATCATGGGTGGGAGGCTCGAACATGAGTTTTTCCTTATAATGAAATATATAATCTTCAACCAATTGAGTCTGTTCAACCTTTTTTTTTTTTTAACTTCATGCAAAATATTTTTTTCACAATATAATCAATCTTTTAAATAAGATATTAATATTAATTAATCAATGTCATCTATAAATATTAGAGTTTTTTATTATCTAATTTAAAAGTATCCTGAGAATCGAACCTCCGATCGTTGTTAGTAGAAACAACGCGTTTCTACCAACTCTTCTATCTTATCCGTTTGTTCTATTAGTTCTTCAATATGATATATATTGTAGGTTTCGAGCCCAAATTTTATTTATATGGGCTTAGGGCCGATAATCTTATTCAATATATTTTGGATTAGATATAAAAACTGGATTGAGAAATAGATGTACAATAGATATTGAACAACGCGTCTCTACCAACTCTTCTATCTTATCCGTTAGATATGTATTTTAGGCCCCGAACCCAAACTTTATTTGTTTGGGCTCAAAGCCGATGACCTTATTCAATATAGTTTAGATTAAGTGTTGATTATAATAGATTTACAAAATATATTGAGCAATACCAAATTACAATATACATCTGCATCGATCAAGTGAATTAGAATTTAAATTCAAATTTAGCTATATATAATATGCAAAGAGAAACCATTTTAAAAGTCCCACATGAAGAGATATGTATATTATTAATTCTGGCATGACAAATGAATAAATTCGATTCATGATATAGAAATTATATATCCCACGTTGCACATGCAAGTTATGAGAAGATTTCAAGAGATATCTGTCTACAATAATACGTCAACGGATCGGATAATATTCCAACAAAAGCATAATACAAACAGAAGCATCCAACATTCCCAAAATTATTCAAATTCGTGTCGTAATCCAATTTTTATAATATATAAAAGGACGTGTTATTATATAGATTTCTGTTGTAATCTGCTATGTAGATTATTACTATATATACGATAGAAGATGTTCGGCCACCTAATACAAAATAACCGAGAGTAAGAAAAAATATTACATATTAATACATACTTAATTAGTAGCTAATTATTAAAGTAAGTTGATAACTTGTTTTTTTTTTTTCTAAATATATATGAGTTTCTACGTACGGATTATGAACCGTCAAACAATTTTGAACTTATAAAGCAAAAGGGTGTGTTGACATTCCGAAGACAACCCTTTTCCTTTTGTCGTCAAGGGTAGTTATTTAAGTTCATTCATTATAGAACACTCGCTAGTGATACAAACACCGAAGACATTATAAGTTAACTCTGTTTCTTCTGGTCTTTATTGCTACTTCCCGACGTTGACTCTACCTATGAATTTTTCTATGTTTCGATCCTACTTTTCCACACACACACACACATATATATATAGATAGATAGATAATTGTAATAGTGTATTTATGACCTTCTTATAATAGTAAGGGTTATTAAATATAAAAAACCAAACGATGAATTTTAGATATTCGATATCATAATCATATCATTACGATACGGACCTAAATTAATTAGTAATCATTAAAGTGATACTTAGTAGTACTGAAGAGTTTTCTATTTATAACTATAATATAACCCTAACGACGCTAAAAGATATTTATTGATCCCTATATTACGTAAACTATCACAACATTTCAATCATTCATCATCAGATTATTCAGACTGATGCATAATCAATCAGATGATTTAATTTATTTCTACACACAAACGTAAAACAAAAATCTATATACGTACAAATAACAAAGACACATTCAAAATCATTATAAGAAAAAAAACATAAGAGAGAGAAGAAAAGAAAGAAAAGAAAATATAAAAGCATGTGCATGGTAGACTTGTCGTTGACGTGAAGGATTTAAATATGCCCGTGAAGAGAAATATTATCGAAAAAAATCGATGAAAACTGCAAAATGCTTTCGGATATCTTCTTCGCCTTTCTCGTTGGTCCACTTCATTTATGGGCAATCTACAATTGGGGCCTATACGTAATCTGCATACGCATACGATATACACGTAGACTTTAGAATTATAGTATGTACGTGCCTTATTTCACGTGGAAAAGATAAATATTAGTTTTAAAATTTTGGATATTTTTCGTATTAGGGTTTTCTTATCTCGGTTTCCAAATAGAAAACCTATAAATAGTTACCGGTTTTAGCCGCATTTTATTCTTTCAAATATAACTTCTTTTGGTAATATCTATTTAAATGGTAACAACAGATTTGTTTTGGGTGTGATTGGACCAGATTAAGTGTCGGGTCAACACTGGTCATGGGATTGATGATACTCCAACAGAAGCAGAACAAAATGCGATGTTCATAAATTTTCCATTTTCTATTACTATTTTTATTTTATTTTGAGTAATTAAGTATTAAATAATGTTATATATATATTAGGAAAATTCTCCGTTCCATTAAATAATAGAATGTTTAGCTAATTAATTATAAGAGTATATATAAAGTATAAACAGTAAGAAATTGTTTTAAAAATATTTTCCTTACATAAATAGTAATAATTATAAACCAATAGTTCAAAATATATTTATATATAACCATGTGAAACTTATAGTATCTAATAAAATTTTGATATATAGGTAACTTCTTGATAACAAAAGAATAATCATTGCACAACAGTAACATACTTTTGTTATGAATTTCTTTGTTATAATAGTTGTTAGTATTCCACACACACATAGAAGCAAAGTTCCTAATGTGTAAAATTCCATGAAAGGAAAGCCACAATTATATACGTTTTTGGTACGTGGAGGAGAAGTGAATGTTATTTCTAGACCGTTAAATTAAAATTTGATGGGGACAAGACAACCCTCGTGGATATGCTACAACAGTTTTACAAAGACATCGATACATATACCAATATGGCAATTTTGCGTAATAAGTTATATAAAATGTGAATAGATAGATAGATATTAGCAGGGAGAGAGGGCATCACAGGACAAAGACAAACACTCGTGACAGATCCAGCTAGCGTACGTATATATGACAAATGAAAACGAAATGTTTTAGCGAATAAGAAAAAGTTAAAACAAATTCTCACACACACACACACTTTAAAAAGCTGCCTTTTACTCTCTCTCTCAACTCATTCACTGCCTTAAGCAATGATATGATGACGACGATAATAATGTGACAGGCCAAAATTGTATTTTCTTCATATAAATATAGTTTGATATCCCAAAAAGATCATTTAATGACATTGGCATTTTCCTAATCAATCGTTTTCCTCCTGAGTTATAGTATACCAATATATATATATATATATATATATACCAACGTACACGAATCGTAATTTAATAATGCGAGGATATTATTATTGATTTTACGTGATCATGTTTCTAATTAAGAACTAATTAAAAAAAAACGAGAGTAAAAATATAGTACATTAAATGACAAAGAAACAACAAAAAATAACATAAAATATGAAAGAATTAGTTGAGAACTCTAATATAATTTTTCTTTAAATAGCATTTGTCCAAAAATAAACATGTTATGAATTAACAGAAACAAATTTGGGAAAAAATCTTGTTGACTGGGGAACTACTGTATAAGCTAAGAACAACTACTGCATTTTATTACTTATATTTTACGTGAACAAAGACAAGGTATTGATCAATTAACTAACTACAATGAATGTTAACTCAATTTTTAAAGATATAATTATTGGTATAACGACGACAAACCTGAGGATGCATACACCTTGCGATAATCTTCATCAAATCGTAGAGATTGCTCTCAGTCTTGGACTCTCGTTAATTGTCGCCATTAAAACCTTCTTACAGCTTTCTGTGAAATGTGTGAGTGGTAAGTTTAGCAATTGCATTGATGAGCTGAAAAGAGAGAAGACACCTTCGCCGCTGGAGCATATGGTCTCTGCCGAAGACCAAGATCGAGAGTCATGATCTTTGTTAAGGATGAGAACACGTGTCATGATACTGTTGTAAGATTTTTTTGTAAACTAGGGTTTGCTCCTGCATCATAAAGACTCCGGAGGCGTTAGCGTCTGCGTTCACAACAGCCTCGACGGATTCATATGAGGATCCAGAGACGACACATTTAACGTATTCGAGGTTCTGTGGGGGGGCCTATATATGTGGCAATAGGGCATGTATAAACGAATTAAAACATATTGTTGCAATTGTGTTGTTGTTGTCCGTAGGATAAGTGATGAGTCGCACTTTCTTGAGCCAAACGCGTCACAGAAAGCTCTCTCTGTCTGTGATGTCACAATTCTTATTAAATTTATTCTATAAAAAAATGGGATCTAGCTACTAATATATATATATATATATATATATATATATATATTCTTTTGTGAAAACTGAAAACTGGCCTTCACTATATATACACAAGATGAAAGAAAAGGTGAAGACAAAAGCATACACAGTAGCAGAGAGACGTACTCATCATTTCTCGTAGCTACAATTAGATTCCGTTGTCTTGAAATGACTTTAAAAAGTATATTTCTACTTTTATTTAGATTTTATCTGTATACTTATTCGTTGACATGTCTTATACTGTTATGCATGATACATTAGACCAATCTTCAAGTCCCTTTCTCTCTGTGTATATATATATGAGGATTTCAAAAGAGTGCAAAGTTGTACAAGAAATACATCTACATGAAGGCGAGCTCCAGAAATTGTCTATGCTTATGTTATATATATGTACGTACATGTACATATACCAAGCATGACACATGCACATCCATATGTATTCTTCAATTTAGACTAGTATACGCTTTATATTTTAATCAGATTAACTAGTGCCTATATATATATACATAAAAAAATTTGGTAGACTAATCCAAGGTAGGCTGAGAAAGTTTCACAATAAGACAGAGAACAACTGTACAAGGAATATTTTTGATATCAATCATCTACTTCGAAGATTCACGGCTTTCATTAAATGTAACTCGAAGATGTATTGAATGACTTTTTTTTTGTGCTAGGTCAATGAATATTAATTGAATGCAGGTTCATGTATATATATAAATATATATAACACTTTCTTATCTTATGAACGCGACGCACGTAGACGCACAAATATATATTCCATCCAGGCACCCAATCATTATTTTAAGGAAAACATTTAATTACAGTATAATCAGAAGAAAAAAAATTTATCCTTACCAATTTTAGCATGAGTCAACACATATTACCATAATCCTACCTGATGCTACAAGGAACAAATTAAGATATATAAGATACTTTTTCTGCAAAAACCAGAGTATTTTTGCCTTTTAAAATATCTCTAATAATGTTGTCCTAATGCGGGTATCAAAAAGCACACATAATTAAATTTGAAGTATCTGAAAGGAATGTTATAAATTTATTTATACTCACAATTATATGTAAAATATAAAATGTAAAAGAGTGATGATCCCAAGTGAGTGAGGTCTCGGAATGCACGTGAGGGGGTCATGGTGGACGCACGTGGGCTCTGGTCAAAGATGAAGTTTTCTTTTCACTTCTTTTTGTTAGACTAATTTTTTGTTACACCTTCCATGGAATTGGTTATGTCCTCTTGACTCTTCTATGAAGCCGTAGATGAGTCTGTTCTCTTTAAAACCTCTTTGTTGCTTATTTCACACTCACACATATGGATATCGTCTTCTCTTTGGAAATGAAGCTACCACTTACTCATCAGAATCTGTGGTTCTGTGTAAGCAAAAGATGAAGAGTTATATAAATCTGTTAAACTAGTAAATATATATTTTTTTTAGTAGTACGTGAAAAGTTTATTATTTGAACCTTCTTTTCTTCCTTTTTGGAAAATAAAAGTTCGGCCAGTTTTGTCGCCACCAAATTTGGCATTAAACTGCAAAATGTAACTAAACCATACAAGAGCCCAAGCCCAATAAAGCTAATTTTTAGCCCGTCGTATTAATTAATACATATGATTCACAATAAAATTTAATAACTGAGTTTAATTACTGTTTGGCTGTTTTTAATTACTTAACACAAAGAAAAAGATTGGTAGGCGAACTCAAATATAAAATTCTTGACCTGACCCATTCTTCCATCAATTTAGTGTGGTTGTCACTAGTTTCTTCAACTTGTAAAGTTGATATTTATAAGCGAAAGTAGAAATGTATTCGCACACGTATATTGAGCTGTTTTCTTGGTACTTGCTCAATGGCGACCACGACCGCAATTGCTGATCGCAACTATTACGTTTAGTCGATGGTCACTGTCGACGTCTATACGAACTGACCCACATGTTGTATTAGGGCTATACATGTATCTCAAATATTTTCACCATTTGGATGTCGGTCACATTTTGGATAAGTTCCTTATTAATTTCCTTGTTTTTTTTTTTTTTGTGTGTGTATCCGGAGAATTAATTTTCGAAGAATTAATAAGGATATTTGTCATTCTATATTACATAACAACGACATGTTAACAATTACTGGTCGATGCCCTTCTTCCCTTTCACTCCCTCAGAAGTCAGGTCTATAGCATTACTCTGTGATCTCTTCTTGGGCTTCATTGACCATTGTATTGTATTCACACATGATACACATGCGATAATGTAATGAAATGAGGAAAACTTTTCATGAGCTAATCTAATTTGGCCTGTCATTTACTTAGATAAATTAATTTCCATAGAGATCTTTAAAATTTGAAAGTGCAAATTGTGGCATGGTGCCGTGGGTTGTGTTTTTGTCTTCAAAATTTCTGATTTCTTTTCAACAATCATGTACAAAAGAGCTTCATACTTTTCAGTCTTGAGATTCTCCTGGTGGATCACTCTCTTCATCATCCTTAGATTCATCATACCGTCGAAGAGAATCGAGACTGAAAAAATAAAATGATACAGAACCGTTTAACCATTCATAGCAAAACCACAGAGAGATTGGAAACGTTTTAAAAGGAAGATCATTTCAAATGAAGTGGAGAGTACCTGCAATTTTGAGGGACTTTCCAGGAGAAACCAGAGGATTGTTTTAGATGATTTGGTAAAGACATAAAATCTTTCCAATCTTGAAGCATGATTCTGAGATCATGGAGCTTACTTTCCATACCGTAGCAGCAATTGGCGTGCATTGTACGAACTAAATTCATATCTCTGCTAGGCTCACATAGACCCCCAAAGTAAGCGGTGTTCAAGAATCTCATCTTTAACCCGATGCGGTGAACAAAGGGTTCTGTTTTGAGAAAGTTAAGAACATCCTGATCGTGATATCCTGGGAATCTGAGCCTTGACGCATACCAGTATTTGTAGAACAGTATAGTTCGATTGTTAGACCGTACAAAGTTAAAACCCCCGTTCGGCCTATTTTGTAGGTCGTTCGATCTTCCGAGGTAATGATCGCATGCAATCTGGAAATCTGCATACATGTAAAACCGTGGAAAAGGGTTCCTGAACCACATCACATCAGCATCCTGGAGAAAAGGGGGAAAAAATATAATGGGTCACTTGATAGAACCAGAAAACTGAGTTTCAAACAAGTCTTTCATCAGAAAACTGAGTTTCAAACAAGTCTTTCATCAGTTCCCTAATGTCAATGTTAGTACCTAACTAAAAGAGAAGATACAAGAAATTTACCGTAAAAACAAAATTGTAACCCATTTCAAGAACAGACCGCAGGAGATCAATCCTTCTCCACATCATCTTCAAGTAAGACCGAGTCATAAAGTAAGCTTCTCGAGAAAAATCAACCCCTTCAGTAACAAGACTGAAACAATGCTTATGGAGTTCTAAGCAACGGGAATACGCCTTAGCATCCAACGCAACAATCACCAAATGATCCAATATTAGGCTTGTTTCTTCCCCTATTCTAAAACTCTCGAAGAAGAGATCAATAACAGATCCTGGAGCTGCCCAAGCTGCATTCAAAGTTGTCAAAACCACTGTCCTGTCTCTCGTTGCAGCTTTACGCAGAACATCTTCCAGCTTCGGTTCCTCATCATCACGCTGCATTTGAATGCACACACCAAGTAAATTCAATAAAAACCAGAAACGAGTAGATAGTTGATCACAACTTGTAGCTTCACAGAGATACCAGCAAAGATTTATATATGTTCCAACTTCATCATAATCAAAACTATGTCAGATGTTAACTAGTTCATCACAATATCAAACATGCAAACTCCAAGCACCAGATATAGCTAAGACATTTCTAAGTCCCCAGCAATGTCAATGAACCTCGACATCAATCGATCCCAAAATTTCTAAAAATTCGTACTTTAATCTCTCTACGGACATCAAATTCGTGAAAAACACTTTGTGAGGAAGAGAAAGAAGAGAAGACTAACCAGATAAGCAGAGAAATTGAAAAGGCGAGGGGAGAAAGACAAGGAATCAGCGGCTCTGTAGAGAACGAAGCAAGAGATGGATATGGCAGCTAGGAAAAGAGCAGCTCGGCGCACCGGGATTGATGATCCCGGAGACATTTCTCCGGAGGAGTGATTAACGGTAGACGAAGCGTCGAGCCTCGCCGTGTGGAATCTCGAACCGACACGGTGCGATAGATTCATCCCCACCGACCATCTTCACTGCGATCAACGTTGTTATTTTGGTCCCCCAAAATTGGTTTTTTTAATTTCTATTATTATCATTTATCAATTTCGCAAAATAAATGGTTACAAATTTAATGTGTACATAAATATTTACACCAACTACCAAACGCAACGTTTTAACGAGAAAAACACGGAGCGTTTTAACGAGAAACAAAAACGCAGCGTTTTAACGAGAAACAAAAACGCAGCGTTTTAACGAAAAACAAAACGCTGCGTTGTCTCGGGGATTCTCTTAATTCTTTGTTTACATAAAACACAACATTTCGTCACATCTGTCTAATTTCATAACAAGACCAGTAAGTATTAAAGTTCATAATAGTCGAGTTACCTTGGCTTAATCCGTAAGAACATATGAACGATCCAATGTTCTTAAAAAATCGGATTCGAACGTAACATTGTAGAACCAAACAAAAATAGTCACCATGGCAAAAATAAAGATAAGAATCTCGAAGCCTAACTAAAAAAAAAGATTACGATTGTAAACAATCTGAATATTCACTACACTAGAATTGAGAACAAGTGAACAAAAGGTTCAGCTACGAAGTAGAGAAAAGGAGAGATTGAGGTTAAGATCAATCTTGGAAGAAGCAAAACAATCTCTGAAGATGAATGGAGCTGAAGATGATGAGACTGCTTCACTTGTTTCACTAAGAGATGATGCTGCATTATTGCTTTTCCAACGTTGTTGTTTATCATGAGGATGATTCAAAGATAGAGACAACGATAACTCTTCTTCTTCTTCTTCTTCTTCGTGTTCGTCTTCTCGCCATGTGTTTTTCCAATTGGTCTTCCTGCTCTCGGCCTATTTTCCAAAGACATCAAAGCTCTTAAAGTTTAGAATAGGACTTAGATTACATTAAAAATCAGAATAATTTGCACTCTATTATAATTCAAACAAACTATGGCGAGAAACTATGCTATCAAATCCAAAAATATGACGATTATGTTCTAAATCTATAGACCGAGTCACGCAGGAATATGGAGTATTGAGTATTGACGTAACACATAATGTGAATATCAAGAAAACATCAGAAAATAAGACTCGTTGTTTAAATATTTTGTAGAATAGTTTATCAAAATTATGCTGTATAAAATTTAACTTTTACCAAAAAAAAAAAAAATTATGCTGTATAAATATATAATACAGTACTTACTAATGAAGCATAAGTGCTTCTAGTTACGAATTTATTGACGGTAAAATCACCACCTGAAAATTATTAAGTACCCAGCCCCATGCCTAGCCTAGTGTAGTTGACCCGTAACATAACAATGTTCAGTGGTTTAGTGAGTGTTTACCTGAGTCTTAAATACTTTTAATTATTGATGTAACTTTACTAACGGCTATTTATGAAACCATATATATATATATATATAAAAATAATTTTAATACCTCGAGAAAGTGATGAGACTGAAACTTGATGGACTCGGCGTAGCCTGCAAATGTCTTCTTCGCTCTCTCCATGTTCATGATGTTAAGAAAGTCATCGTCATCATTATCAGTCTGCTCTCTTCTCCCCAAAAAAAAAAACCAAAGAAAAAATTATTATTCCAACAAAAATAAAGGCTACAAATTCGACAATTCATATTCCAACAAAACTGTATGATAGCTATACCCATTTTCTTGAATAAAATTAAAACACTTGTCAGAAACAAATTAATATTCCCTATCCATATTTTCTTTTCTCCCATTAAAATAAAAAAATAAAAAATAAAATTACCTAAAGTTAAAAGAGTGAAAACCCAAAAGACAATCATTCCTTGCGTGTACAGACAAGTTGTCATGAAGATGATCTTCTTCATTGTCTTGTCTTCTTCTTCTTATTCTTGAAGATGGTGAAGAACTCTCTTCTGTCCCCCCAAAAAAAAAAAATTATACAATTAAAAACATTAATTTATTTATTGACCATGATCATGAATATTCTCTTTACTCTTTGGTGAGTATTTCTAATCCAGTTAAATTAAAGAAGCGCCTACTTATTATTATCTACAAGGCTACTAGACAAATAAATTATTTTATCCTTGTTTTTTATAAATATTTTAAACATTACTATGAATATCTCTGACAATGCTGGGAGTGAGAATTAATATTATGCATTATTACAGTTTTTCTTTAGTGTGAATGGTGGGAATTTGAAACGAACTGTCGTAATCTTGAAACTATGACGTTCAAAAGTGTAGTTTGATGTCTACCGATTCAAACCAAATTTTTTTTGCAAAATTCATTACCTGGTTTCCCAAGAAGAGTGAGTCTGGATCCCCTATACATCTGCCATATGATCAAAACAGGATCATCAGCTTAATAGATGATTTTTTTGAGGTAATGAAGAAAACATTTTAAAAGAAACATCAAATGAATAAAGTTTGCTTAAAGCAGCGTTTGTATTTATATATATACCAATAAACAAAACAGTAGAAGACAACAATTGCTATCAAATAAAAAAGGGTTTTTAGCATCTTCTTTGACCTGGAGATGGCTCTTGACGTGTGATATGGTTAGTCCCTTCACATCCATTATCTTAAGAACAAGTTTTGGAGTTGCTTCTGTTTCATTCAAACCAACAATATACAAATCCTTTTAAAATCTTGAATTTTTAAATAAATATACCAAGAAAACCAGAAGTTTGGTTATAAAGACTGACTATATTGTCCGCCAAGCAAATCAACGGCGTGAACGAAGCTCCGGTGAAGCTCCGGCGTCCATCTCAGACGAGGCACCGGAGATCGTACGTACGGTCTAACTCCACCCATCCCTCCGTCGCTGCTCCTTCCACACCTACCCATTCGAAACCCTAATCTTGATCGCCTTAAAGAAAGAAAAAAGATTTCTTGTTTGCCTTCTGTAGAGAAGAAGAAGAAGAAGAAGAAGCTAGAGGAAGAGAGAGGTTAAAGAAGAAGAGAGAAGAACCCTAAAGAGAGGATAGTTATATTGTGAGAGAACAAGGTTGAAAGATTAAAAAAGGACAAAAGGTTTCTGTTTTTATAGAAGATGAAATGTTTCTTTTTCCCATCTATATATTTATTCCCCCCTTTGTCTCTTTTTGGAAGAACTCGTGCTTATACGTGTCTGTGTATATGTATATAAAGAAGCTAAAGAAAAATCATCACTCAAGAAATTGATAAGTTAATTCTAGGAATAGAAAGAAGAAAGCTGATGATATATAATTTAGAATTTTATAATTAGTACGTACGCAAACCAGCTGGAATAATATTGTTATATACTTTTTACATATAGTTTTTGAGGTGACATGTGTTTTTGACCTAACAGAATAGAATACATTCAACACAAATTTATCATCCATTTGACTTTTGCATGCATTAGTAGAAAAATAGCTTTTACAAGAATCTTTTGGAGTTTTTGGTTGGTATCCATAATGCATGGACCACTCCCCTCGGAGAAATGTTATACATTAACCAGGGCAGAGAAATATTAGAGTATGTTTATCATGTTAAAAATCATATGAAAGTAAAATATGTATAATTTCACGAAGGATAACTTTGTTACAATTTAGAAAGAATATGCATTCTTATTATGCATTCCTACTAAGAATGTACATAATTTGCTTTTGTTTTGTCCAATCCTAATTGCATACAAGAATTACCTTATTGGGATTTGGGATTTACCCAAATGAAGAAGTTTCCTCTAGGCTTCACCCTTTTTCATCATAGGTCTTTTAGACTTACAATTAAAAAATAAATAAGAGAATATCAGAAATGAAAGATAGCCCAACTGCTAAGCTTTGACCTTAGGATCATCATTCCATTTCTTTTTTTTTCTATAAGTTTCCTATTTATTCTTTTCTTTTTGGGGTTTCGTGTTGTTTAATAATTTTTATTTCTGATAATTAGAAGAAAGTCATATTTATGGTCCTTCGTACGTATTTGAACCAACCTTTTTGACTTCATTCCCCTAATTCCCTATTTTATATTTTTCCTCCATTTTCCAATTTATTCCTTATTTTCTTTTAATATTCACACGAAATTTAGAAAAGGAAAAAAAGAAAAAAAAAAAAGGCAATGATGTGCATTACACATGCCCCTATGCTTCTGCTTATTTCCAGTTTGTCCTCTTTACTTTTTTTCATCTTTCTGATTTCTTGCTGCATATTGAAAACAAATCAAAATCATTTCCCCTATGTGGTAGCCCATTTAAAGCACTAGTTGCGGATTCTTGATCTTTTCAAAAATAAATCTCAGCAAAATTCAGAGGATCATTCTAGATAAATCAAATGGTAATTTACAAAAGAATCAAGTTATCCGCATATGGATACATAAAACTATGATGTAAAACCTCTCAAAACTAGAACTCACAAATGCAATAATCTACATTGCCCTAAACTCACAAGTCTTAGATCCAGTTTTTTTTGTTTTGTGTGTTTAATGATTTGTTAAGTGAAAACCATCAGACTAAACATGCTTCCACGATAGTATTTGTACCTCGACATTTCTATACAAAACTGTCGGACCCCATACGAAGACGGAAGACCATATATGATCTTAGCAACTAGTGACATGTAATGGGATCACTTACCCTAGTGTTTCCTCCCAACATAATTCGGATCCCACACATTGTTGTTGTGGACACCTTTAATTCAAAATAAATGAAGAAGCAGAAATATAAACATAAATAAAAAGGATGAAGGAAAAAAACGTAGGAAGTTGCTTAAAGAAGGAGGGTGGGACGCAAATGTCGTCGATGACGAAATGGACAAATGGGTATGTAAGTAAGTACTCCGCATTGTCTTCTTCTTGACCATGACTCAGGTTTTTTTTTTTTTTGTGTGTGTGTCTAAGTATTTAATCACCCTTCAGATTACACTATCAATTATGTATACCGTAAATAGCATAATCACCTTGCAAATTGTTTATTGGTGCGGTAACCATACTTAACTGGTATGTCTCATTTAATTCACACCAATTAGTTATATGGTACCATTCATACCTTGTTTCCAGCTGTACCTACCCATATTCAACAAAAATACATATGCAATAATTCCAACAAAACCGACCAAAAGGAGAAAGTTACACACATAACACTCCAAATTATTCAAACCAAGCCGTAATAGTACACAATAAAATGGAGAGCTTACGTGATACGTACAAAGTGGAATCACGGAGCCTAATAATGTTGTAAGAATATGTCAAGGACTCGAGGTGATGTTGTTGACTTTCAAGATTAAGACTACAACACACATAATTTTGATTTTAATCACTTTGCATCTAAAACCTAGCCAATGTGTCGTATACACACACAATACTCATTCGCAATATATATGCCGATATGTTGCATATAAGCCAAAAATCACTTTACTGATTTAGAAAATCTATGCAAATGGTGTGAAATTAAACCTTCGTTAGATGGTATCCTCCTAACCATTTTGTTTAAGTATCTGGCTTTACAGAAAAAAAACAGGAATTACAGACTATCTATTGACAAAGATACGTATTCACCTTTTGACAGCCCAAGGTAAAAAGAAGAGAAATTACATGCAAAAATATTTGTTAGTATTATACTTCTGAAGTATTGTTTGTTGAAGCCTTGGATCCACTAATTAAAAAGCGACACATTACATTGGTGTAAGCCAACGGAAAGCTCCGTTTATCCTTTCGTAAGATGCTTTCGATCTTTGGCGAGTCGTGGCTAGTGTGGTCCAATCTAGTTTCGAGTTGCAAAATCTGCAGGGCGACACACTCCAATCGTTTTCAAGTTACTTTTAACTTCTTGTTTGTGTGGGAGATTCATCCCAAACCGATGACTATTGACTAAGCATATCTCCAAGGAATTGGCTTTTAATGGCTTTTGGGGTCTTTTGATAGAGAATCCAACAACAAGGCCTCCACATCTTGTGTTTGTGAAGTCTTAACTCTTAACCACAAATACAAGATTGTATAATATATGCTTTTATACCGAGTGTACATACCTAAAGCAATTTATCATATATACAAAGGTTGGTACGGATAGCTTGACAGATACGGTGGCTACATGCCGCGGTTTTGTTTCTTGAAATTAATTATATGAAAACAAGAATTCGAAGAAAAATCAAACATTCAATGAATTGCCAAATAGATCCAAAAGAAATTTATTGCGAAATGGACCGCAAGTCCATGATTCATGGCTTTTACTACAATCAAACACTCACTCATTCAATGAGTTTCGTCGACTCATATTGTATTTTTATGTATAGAGATTAGAGAGAGATACAACTTGGCAATACAAAAGAGTTTTTGGATTATCATAACGGCTAAATTCTATTTTGATCCACAAAATTCCCACCGAACCATTTTATTAGATTTGACCTTTATATGTGTTATTTTATTTAAACGTTATTTTTTCTCCCCACCCCTTACACTTTAGTTGATTTCAATCATAGCACATGCACGAACAATATGAATTATAAAGTATTTGATAAAAAGGTGTAATCAACCAAGAGAGAAAAACACCTAGAGAGGGTTTCTCTAAAAGTGTCACCAAAAGAAAACTTATTTAATTACTAACTATTCTTCTTCAAATATTTAATTTTAAAGTTTTTGCTAAAGATTAGGTCCATATAGATGTGGTCATGTGAAAAAGATTTAGGGTTGAGAGTATGAGAACCAAACAACCCTTGACTTTTCTTTCCTCGAAACACTGGAAGTGTGTTTGCTATATGTCCTCAAATTTGTTTAAGTCCACCTTCTAGTGCTTATCCCCAGGTATAACAATATTAACAAAAATTGAGGAAACAGTAAATAGAATTTGTAAACATTTGAATTTTGAGGACAAACATGACACATTGGAGCATGAGTTGAGAGCTTCCTGTCCAGATATACCAAAGTATGAGAGTTATAACTAAAAAAAAAAAAGAAGGGAAATCATAACAAGTTGGAAAATTCAAGAGAAACTTTCAGGTTTTTTTAGAGGCAGCACACACATGGTTGTAATCATAGCAGTAAAGACAATTGAAGAATATTACATGTTTGATTTTGTGTAGAGATTGTAAATGGCAGGTGAGAAGAAGAAGGAGGAGAGGGACATAAAGAGAATAATTCATCCCTTTACAGGCTTTCTATATGTTCTCTTATCCACCAATCCATGATTGCAATTTTTGTTTTTGCAGAATCGTCTATACTAATATCTTAATGCAGAGTATTCAGAGTTGGTCCAGTGTTTATGTCTTTATGTACACTTACTTTCATTTCTTTTAATGTAGAGAAAGATCTTCAAGAAAATGACATAATTTGCTCCCTATAGATCTAAACTCTGAAGTCTTTAACTTCTTTTGAATGTGTTCAGAACAGGGCATGCGAGTATGCGTTCGTGCAGAGTGCACAACATTTTTTTCAGCTACGTGAGAACTTTGTTTTGCAGTAGCTGGTGACATAATATGTTCCCAATTCTAGAAGAATCTAGACGAAGGGTACGAGAGTACGTGTACATACATAAGCCAATTTGGAGTCGTGATCAACCTAATAATTAACCTTTTACCAAACAAACCGATATCACTAAAGATAAGAATCAGACACTTACCTACTGTTCCAGAGAAAAGCAGTGATGAAGTATAATTGGGCATTAAGAATTATGTTAGGACCCTATCAGAATGAACATCATTACATCAAAGAATGAAACCTAGACCAAATGTATATGTAGATGATCACACTTTTGAGGAAATCAAAAGGCTGCGGCAAAGTAAATCGTGGGACCAAGTATACTTATTCAAATTATTGAAATCAGATCAAATGTTTCATGGAAAGAAGAATAGGAAGCAAAAAAAAAAAAAAAAGTTAGATATTTTCTGATGAATGTGGGGATATACGGATACAAAATGGGGATGAGCAATCTCACTGATCTACTGTTTGGTCATCTAGTGGTATTAAGGGTCAATCTCTTGATCGTGCATATGACCCTCGAGGTTTACTATCTACTAGTATCACCATTCAGTTGCTCGGGACTAATTACACTGGGTTGACACAGTCAACACCGACACTTACGCTAC